ATATATATATATATGTATATATATATATAGTTTTTAGGATAAAGAGGAGCGGGTCCTGCTCTAAATATGAGGGACTACGTGCAAGGACAGATCGCTCAACCCCTTCTCACTTGGATTGAGCTGGTCACGTGCAACACTGGCCGCGCCGACGCTATTCTGGGCGCTCCCGTGCCGGGCATAGGTGCCCCTACGTCACTATCATTATATATTGCCAAAAATCCTAGCTGTCTATAGTTTCAAGCTCATCATGCTGGCCTGAAATTCCAAATTCAGAAATCTTGTGAAAGATATTGTAGATAATTATGAAGGACACATAATTAACAAGAAGGCTGTTGCATGAAGCCATAAGCCGCTAAGTGGTCTTGTGCTAGTAATTACATGCTCCTTTTGGATAGGCTATAAGATAGTAAAATGAAAGATGTTGGTAAAGGAACTAAACTGCTGTCTTTGGATTTAGAAATTGGAAATGGGGCTCTAAGCAAAGTTGACAAATTATCAAAGATAAATACTTTTAATATTTTGTTTTTCTCAATCAATTAAGTAATTTTGAACTGAATCTATAATATAAGGTTGGACTTGAGAGTTAAGACAGTTGTGATTGAAGGAGTACTTGTAATACAATGCTTTGAAAAATTTAATAATTTGCCTAAACTGTCTTGCAGAGTTAACCCAAAAAAACCGCAATGAAATAGTACGTTATTGATAAAATTAAAAAAGGAATTATAAACAAAACCGGGAAATCACCACAAAATTAGGTTGTAGGTCGGTGAGGTGGTGCTGCGATCTGAGGGAAAACACAAGTTATTGAAGGAGGCTGCATTTGGGGGGGGGGGGGGGCGTTGGGTCAACAACAGGTGCATGTAAAGGCTGACCTCAAGTGATGGGGTGATGGAGGTGTGGCTGGTCGGTTGGATGAGGTTGGTTGAGAACGGGTTACGACATTCCTGTCAATGGGAGAAGCTGGCTGGAAACAGTTTACATCCAATCTGCGGCAGGACCAGGTAAACTGGCGGCTAGAGTAGTGGGGTGTGCGATAGGTAGGCGACTGCAAGGAGAGGCACATGAAGGATGGCAACAAGAAGGGGAGAGTGACAACAAACAATAAAAGGAAAGATACACATCATCTAGTGATGAATTACCATTGGAGCATATTTTCGGCATCGGGTACGACCCTAGAAGAGAAAACGGGATGCTGGCGTCCGTCCTTACTGAAAGCTCAGCAAAAACTGAACCTAATGACAATCACTTTATAGATACATAGTAAATAACTTGGAGGGGGCTCCTCCCCTTGGGCGGCAACCGTAACCCATAATCTTGGACTGGCCGGACTTGCCCCCCTTAGTTGAACCAGTTCAGCAGCCCAACTGGTTCAACTCCCTAAGGAGCCCCGCTACACAAAAATTTTGATTTTTGTGTCAATAGGTAATTTGTGATACCGTTAACCCAAACCACAATAGGAAAAAAATAAATATTATGATTGGAAGCAAATTGGCGATTATAATTAAACATACTTGAAAGGGAAAATACAGTATACACGAGACGCATACTAACGTTAGAGCGGATCTCAAGTGATGGTTGCGATGGTTAGTGGGCTTGGTGAGGTTGGCAACAAAGCAGGGATGAGGTTTCTGGGCTATAGATGAGGGGTGAGAGTAATTTTGGGTGGCTGGAATAATAGGGCAGCAAGGGATGACAGTCCAAACAATGACAAAAGGAAAAACGTGGTGGTTAATTCAGAAGGAGGAGAATAGGGATTGGGGGAGGGAGCTGGGTGGAAAGAGGAGTACTGCATGAAAGAATAGCAACTGCGGTTATCTTGGGTGGTTGTAGTGAGGATGGAGGCGTGGTAGTGAAGCGATCGGTACATGGAAGGAAAGGTTGGGGATAAATACTCCTGGGGGACGAGATACAACCAGAGCACCACCCACCTTTGGATAAAACACTAGAAGGGAGAAACCAGGACGCTAATGATTGTTATAAATAGAAAAATGAAAAAAATGTTCTAAAAAATGAAGAAACAACATATATAATACTAGGATAACTAAGGAGCGTTCCCATAGGGTGGGTGGCAACCCCAAGCTAAAAGGAGGGTCGGTTGGCCCCAAAATCATTTGGACTGAGTGGTCCATACTGCACCTGGAGTGGTCTTGTGGGAAACAGACGTTCCCGCATCAATGGCATGGTTACAAGGGAACCAGGCACTTCCGTGTTAGTGGCATGGTCTAACGGTAAAGCAGGTTCTCCCACTACAATTTGTATGAACGTGCTCAGTTTTTCTAGACCAGCTGTTCTGTGTTTTCTCAATCTTGCTCTTTAAAGTTACATGTACAGAAAGTCTTTCTACCATGATGCTTTGTCACACCGAAGTAGTATACTTCGCATAACTTATTTTTAGAATTATGCTGGCGTTTTAGTCCTGTTATGCTGCATGGATTTGCTTTTTATTTTAAAACTAGATTCGGGGGTTAACTAGTGTTCTGACTTGGTGATGCAAATTTTTTTTTTTCAAACAAATTTGTGGCATTCACAAATGTGTCAGAAAACTTCTTTGTTGGTCGTTTGCATAAATGTGATGCACAGTTAATAAATTTTTCTATCTGATCAGTTGATCTCTTTATTTATTAGAAATATTATGGACTCCTAAAACCAATAGTAGAATTTGATAACATTTTTTATCTTATGTGAATATATTTTTTTGTTTCTTTATCATGTTCAGTTATCGAGTTTTTCTATCTTTACTATGGTGGCAGTATCCAGATTACATTGATGCTTATTTAAGGCTTGCAGCAATGGGCAAAGGAAGGAGGAATATTCAACTTAGCATTGAAATGGTAACTGATTTTCATGTTTTATGCTTCATGTGATTGTGTTTTTATGCTATTTATATGCATATGGCTGCAGATTCACGAAGCTCTTAAAATCGATGATAAATGTCCTAATGCTCTAACAATGCTTGGTGACCTTGAACTTAAAAGTGATGACTGGGTTAAGGCTAAAGACACCTTCCGTGCTGCCAGAGATGCAACTAATGGAAAAGATTCTTATTCCACTCTATCTCTGGTGTGTAGCACTTGCTAATTATGCTTGATATTGTGGTCCTATTTTACGAGTATTGTGCAAAAGCTTCATAGAGATTCTTTAATTTTTTATTTAAGTGAACTTTATTTCAATTGTCTGGTAATTAATTTAGCAAGTAAAAACCACAGTGAAATAGATTCTCCTTTTGTATTAAGAATAAGAAGCAATGGTAATTTTTTATTCCAACTTGCCTGGAAATTGCGAATGTCAGTGTTTGCATTACAATATCAAACCAAAAAAAAAAAAAAAAAAGAAAAGAAAATGAAAAAACTATGGTTATTCAGCATTTACAAAGTGGGCCGTCCTCTCAGAGAATGGAAAAAAGCTCATGAGACTTAGGAACAAATGTATAGGAAAAACTATGCAAAGATGCATCTGGGCACAAAAGTGAGCTGTCTGGACGTATTGAAATAAAACTTGTCTGAACTGTGTGAGAAAGGCAAAAGCATCACTTTCCTTTTAGCTTGCCACTTGCTACGCCATAGTTTCTTTCAAGAAGTTTACAATGTTAGTATTATCCGCTTCAACGAATAGTCCCTTGCCTCCAACATCCAAGCCTGAATATAATATTTGATGGAGAGGACAGCTTGAAGCCACTGTTCCAATGTTCCCAATGTTGCATTTGCTGGCCCATAGCAGCCAAAAATTCCCCTGCGTCATTCCTCAAAATCACACTTGCCATCAAACTGAGACTGAAGCGAAGCTCCGTCAACATTAGCCTTTAACAAACTAGAAGGAGAGGGTAGGGGAGGGGGCCGGTGGCGACTGGAATGCTGGCTAGCATCCCTGTGCCTCGGGGATGGGTAGGGAATGAGTTTTTGTAAAGGCTTCAATAACAGTTGCCGCCATAACCGTAGAGGTGAGAGGATGAAAAAAAAAATAGTAGTTTTTAATAATCTTTATCTACATTATTAAAAACGACTATTTTTGTTCATCCACTCACCTCTACGGTTATGGCTTTGGGTCTTCTGGCTTGGGATCTTCTGATGTGATGAATGCTCCATGCAAATGTGAGATGTTAGAATAAGAAATAAAGTTTGCAATGTCAAGTTCCCACCCAAAACATTTAAGCGGATGTCCCACAATGCTGTGGGAGGTCCTATTTAATGTTAGGGGGAGGAGCGGACGGATGAGTAATAATATCACTCGGGAGTTTTGAATCAAATGTGGATAGTGTGGGTGTCTTAAAAGTTGGGGAACACCGGGACAAGAGACTTGTTGACACTGCACTCTTTCCCTCACTATGCTTCTTCCTCTGCATGTCTTAAGTCACCTCCAGCCTGGATCCCTCTACCTCTGGGGTCAATCTCCTCAATTTGCATCTCCTCAGTTGACTCATCCCACATCACAGGACAGGACCTTGCACCCACTTGCACCACTCCATCACTTCTCTTTACTATCTTTTGTCTCATATCTCTAGTATCTGTTGAGTCACCGAAGGATGAATTCACCTTCAAAGTGTAGTATGGTTCGAACTCTCTGAATGACATATCCATACTCACAAAAGTTTCTTCTCAATCAGACTCCAACAGACATGACTCTTCTGAGTAGCAAAATAACCCACGAACACACATTTCACATTTCTGGGATCCAACTTCTCTACAGATGGTCTGTTGTCTTTCATAAAGCATAAACATCCAAATATCTTTAATGGAAGGATCTCACTACTATCTCCTTTCAACATCCGACAAGGAGATTTTCACTCCAGCACTCTTGAGGGAATCCTATTAATTAATTGAGCGGTTGTTAACACGGCTTGCCCCCATAAGTGTTGTGAGACATTTATTACCATGATCATGCTCCGGGCTACCTCTTAAAGATGCCGATTCTTTCTCTCTGCTACTCGATTATGTGCTGGTGTTTATGAGCATGTAGTTTGGTGTTGTATCCCTTGAGCTGACAAGTAGTCCCTCAAATACTTTGTTGATATATTCTGTTCCATTATCAGATCTCAGTGCCTTCACAACTGCATCATATTGAGTCTGGATTGTCTTGTGAAAATCTTTAAACCGATCAACCACCTCACTCTTTTTTTTATCTAGTATATCCATGTAACACGAGAAAAATAATAAATAAACGTTACAAAATAACGATAAGCAGTTGTAGACTAATAGGACAAGGTTCCCATACATTAAAATATATCAAATCAAATGCAACAGAGTTTTTATTCCTATACTGACATAAGTGCTCCTTTATCCTTATTTGTTTTTTCATACATAGATGGATACAACAGACTTAGCAAACTAAGACTAAATTATCCCATTTGTCTGTGATGTAGTAGCTTCTCCTACTGCAAAACTTTCCACCATGGATGTTAGAGCTTAGGCCATCCCCTCTTGGTCCACGTACCAAAGTCCGCTATGTCACATTCTTGTCTCAAGTGTCCGACCCGATCCTCTCCCTTGGAAGATCATTTGAGGAATATCCAAAGAAGCAGTGCATTTTAACTGGAGAATAATGACACTAATAGATAAAATGTTCACTGGAAAGGAAAGAGCATGCGATACATTGGTTAAAGTCATAGAATCGATACACCTCACTACACTGTACTGTGCCATCAACTGTCTGAATGCTCTCTGGGACTGCTAGATGAGTATAGGAAGAGAACTTCCTAGCATTACTTCTCACATATCGAGATGCACCAGAATCTATTATCTATTCTGGTGATTGTATAGTGGACATAGAGGCAAGAGCATGTGTACTACTCCTTTCTCTCTCTTATCTACTGCTACCATCAGATTTACCCGGTAGCCACCTCTTCCACCTCTTTGGTCTCCACGAATATGACCACGACCTTTAGGCTATCCATTTCCACTTGTTTCTCTCTCTTTGAGTGGCTTTAGACAACCTTTGCTCAGGTGTCCCACTTGTGCACAATTGTAGCTTCTGCGGGTCTCCTCCCGAGCATATGTCATACCCGAGCTCAAGACAGCCAAAACTAATCGCGTACCTGGAAGTCCACTCTGCTCAGCGATTCTCCTCCATTCAAATTCGTGCGATTCATTTTGCCTTAGCTCACACAAAGTTGATACCCATCTGCCCCCACTTAAAACCGTAGCCGTTTCTATCCTTCGCCACCTTGTCGCCGAGTGCAACTCTAGAATTGGATGCCCGACTTCGTTGCCTTCCTCAATCCTGAGCCGCAGTTAATATTGCAAAAGCCCTCTCCTGCCCTCGCAATCCAGTCGGGAAAGCAAATTTTGGATTGTAGCGTATAGAGACCCGGAACTAATTATCTCTACAGTTTTATCAACAATGGTAGAATTTGACGCCCTTCAAGTGCTGACTTGCTGCATCCCAAAATTTCATAATCTCTTCGTCGGATGTGAGAACTATAAAGCCAACTTGGATAGCTCGACCAAAATAAGACCTCTTTAGATTTGCTAACTTGGCTTATCACCCACATTCATTGGCGCTGGGACCGACTTTGGAGTAGTTGATTAAGGATCAGTAACTGCACCGCTTCTAGAGCTAGCAGCAGCGGCTTCCTCGTCCTCGGCAAGACACAAACGTGGCATTCAGTCCGCCGAAGCTTCTGCCACCGGTTGGTTAAATATACACCAAAGCCTCCATGCATAACAGTCGCGTGAACTGCTCTTGGCTTTCACTGGTTGATCTCATTCGCACCGTAGAGCCACTTGGTCTATCTCACACTGTCCAAGCCGCTCTTTCCTTCTATCCTCCTGAAGCCTCGTGATTGACTCCACTCTTCCGCAAAGAAATGTCGCTCTACTCTGCCCAGGGAGATGACGTGACTCACGAATCCGCACTTCGTGCCTGAACTCCGCGATAAAGTCGTGATTAGCTTTGCTTGGAAGGAGCGATGCAACTAGAGCGTGCTGGGAAGGCGGCAATGCGACCCAACTTTGCGACTAGAGCTCGCTGGGAAGAAGGTGACTGTGAAGATCTGAAACTGCTATACGACTCTGATACCATAATGAAAGAATTGCTCAAAAACTCCTTTCATTTCATTGATGACGAACTTATATTGAGTATTATAAGTTACACCATTTCACAAATATGACCCTACATTAGATACAAATCTCAACAATACTCATGGAGATAATTTGAATCTCTTGGTTCCAAATGAGACTACTATTGATAAGATTCAAATTAAGAAAAATAAGACAATAAGTTGGCTTTGAATAACCACATGAAATTGAGATTAAGGTTGAATTGTAGTTATGTACTCCACAGGAAGTGGATAATTAGGTTAAAGGGAGAACTCGACTTTACAACAGTTTGAGGGATGATATTTATTGGCACTAATGATCTAAGGTCAAATGGTATTTGTAATGAGACCTAATCAAAATGGAAAGTAAAGTTGTGTCAAACCAAGCTAATTTTATCATTGTTTTTTTTTCTTATTATAAAATTGATATTGTTCTAGGGCACCTAGAAGGTCTTTCAGGATCAAATCTAGTGTGAGAGTAATTGTAGAATGGCAAGAAGAGCGTGTGAAGATGGCGAAGAGTGGAAGATAAAGAAATAGTTCTGGCGGCTGTCTTGTAGGAAAAATAGTAGCAAACACGGCTGTTTAGAGTATCAACGTCAACAAGGTTCCACCATATACTCTCAAATAAGATATAGGCTCACCTCTTGATGGAGAAGAACGCTACAACATTTTGAATAATAGAAAACATAGAAAAAAAATCTCAAAATAATATAAATGAAAGCAAATGCATCCAAACTGGGTTATAACATAACATACTTATACTAAGATTTCTATTTGTCATTTTATTATAACACTACCTTAAATTAATTTTATTTTCTCTTTAATACTAAACAAGCCAGCTCGTGAGCCGATTCAAACACTTAAGCTCGAGCTCGAATTCGATAAAATTAATCAAGCTCAAGTTTAAGCTGAGGGAGGCTTGAGCTCGACTCGACTCGACTCGACTCAACTCGTTTACACCCCTAGTCCCATCCTATTCACGTCCTGGTTGAATGGGATACTCTTGCATTACCCTCCATAAGTAGGA